ACAGTGATTGGATTTGTTTTATAGTTTTATAGCTTCACTCCAAGAATGGACAGAAGATAGAGGTGTGTCCTTGGAGCTAATGATGGAAACTGCCCACTGTATCTCCCTACTGCTGTTTGAGGTTCAACATGCCCCAAGGTTGAAATTACACACATCTCCTTTTCCAACTATCCTAACAACCTCTTTGATGTTTGAAAGTCTTGTTAATAGTCTCCTTATCTATCCAATTGAGTGCAGTTCCAAGTCTTTAGTAACCATCTGCTTCATGCAAGGCATGAATCCTTATAAATGTATAAATCCTTACAAATGTATAAAAACCAGCTATGCAAGCAATTTCAGTGCTGGAGACAGACAAGAAAGAGAAGGCTTTTAGACACACAGGGAGCAAAAGCAGGGAAACATATGCAATACACTAAAAACGTATTTTATATTAAAAGGGAAGGTTCAAGGCCAGTGGAGAAAAACAAGGATAGATGAGCAGGCAAGGGGCCGGTCATGCTAAGTAGTTTGAACCAAACTTGGTAGTGATAAGCAACCACTGGGGATCTTTGGGCTAGAGAGAAATGAGCAAGGTATTTGCATTTGGCAAAGATCACTATGACTGCTCTAAAGACCACATTTAATGAGTCCAAGAGTGGGTGTAGAACTGGGAGTGGTAGAGCACACCAGTAATCCCAGAACTGGGAAGGCACAAAATACATTCATCACTGTGGCATATAAGTCTGATTCCCAGGCTGGAATTCAAGCTCTAGTAGATGATGAGGCCCTATTGCATACTCTGCTTATAGCAGCAGGCCTGGCACACGTGTAGAAGCTTCAGTGAATGTTAAATGAACATAGTCATCGTTTTTGGTGCTGGTATTGAGACTTGTACTCAGGGCCTTGTACTATTGGTTGGCTTATTTTTGTTCAAGGCTGTTTTTGTTCCTGTACCACTTCAGTCATACCTCCACTTACAGCATTTTGCTGGTTAATTGGAGATAAAAGTCTCACAGATTTTTTTTTTGCCTAGACTGGTTTCAAATTGGGATTCTCAGATCTCAGCCTCCTGGGTAGTTAGGATGATAGGTATAACCATCTCCTTGGCCTTTTTGCCTAGAATAGTTATCCTCCTCACCAAACAACTGTGAAAGGAAACTGACCCTCTTATAGGCCAGCTTTCCATTCCTAGGTCCCAGTAACTATTTTCTTTAGCCAGATGAGAGAGGTCCAGGTCAGTAGCTTCAGTTTCCTCATTCATACCCCAGCTGCCTGAGGGACTCAGCCATTCACCCTGGATTTTACTTTGTGGACAAGCAGCATGATAGAGCCCTTGTATGCCTTTCCAAGCTCCCCCTTTCTGTGTTCTTTTGTACATTTGGGGGCTTGAGCAAAGTATTTTTAAAAATTGATGGAGATACCTTGTAGAATGATGTATGACACTTGGCTTAGGATAGTTTACTAGGGACAGAAACATGTATGCCCCCAAAGGAACCACAGGGAACCAGAGAAGCTGTCCACTGGTATCAGGGTTCCCTGAGCTTCTTAAATGGAGGAACAATGAACTTCCCCTTATTGAATTGTCAGAACCTCCAGGGACCCTTGAATTTCTCAATTGTATATCTAATACCTGGTTCACTCTTTTTGTTGTTGCTGTTTTGGTCCTGGAGCTTCAAGTTGGGGCCTGGGTGTTGTCCTTGAGCTCTTTTGCTCAAGGCTACTGTACTACAACTTTGAGCCACAGCTCCACTTCCGGTTTCCTGGTGGTCTACTAGAGATAAGTGTCTCAGGGACTTTCCTGCCAGGGCTGGCTTTAAACTTCAATCTTCAGATCTCAGCCTCCTGAGTAGCTAGGGTTACAGGGGTGAGCTACCAGCACCTGACTATCTGGCTCACTTTTAAGAAAGTTCAAGAACGGGTTTAACATACCCTCAGCCCCAACTTTTAAACTTTATAGTAACTGGTAAGAGCTTCAAAGTCCTATATTCAGGGCATTCATTCCCTGGGCCTTACAGCATGAGTAAGAAAGTACCCAGAGCCTTAGAAGTCAATTCCTGGAGGGCTTTCTGGGACATCAGGGGAAGTCTCTGGTTACATGGCAAGCTGCACACATCACTGATATTGAAGCACATGGATAGAGCTGGAATTGCTGGGATAACCTTAGATTGTTTTAAGGTAACCTGAAAACGCCTCCAACTATTGGCTTCTGTGGAGTTGGAGAAGTGTTGGAGGTTGGGGAAAGCAGAGTAAAAATACATCTTAATTCCAGTAGCTTCATTACTCATACAACTATCTATGATTCATACAGAAAAAAAGGGTGGGCCAGGGTAGAAGTTCAGTCAAATGGAGGACTCAAATGGAGGACTAGTTGAGAGAATGGGACAGGAACAAAGGAAAGGCAGAGGGATTAGCTGTAGGGGTAGAAATTACTTGTTCTAAGAAGCAAATGGGATTTGTCGCTTCATTAGAGAATTATTTGACAGTTTTGGGGGGTCTCAATACGAATTATTTCTATGCTTTGCCTAAACAATGACATAAGTCTAGGGAAGATTCGGAATTTACTGGATAGGAAACCCAGGCATGGGTAAAAATACCATTTATTTATTGGACTTTTTGTTCCTGGAATCCTAATCTGAATCTCAAAGCCCTTCCATCCAGTCATCACAACGTACCTGTATATGCCATTCTCTTATCTATGGTACATATTTACCCAAAAATGGATTTAGAAACAATTGTCCACGAAAAATTAAAATACAAATAAAAACAAGTCAGCCCTACAGAAGTTCAAGTTGAGGGGAAACATTGCATTCCCCATGCTCCCGGAATGCTACAAATATGAAAGCCCAGAAAGAAATGGTAGAAACCCTGTTGCTGTGAATAATTTCATATAATGTTTATTGGGTACCTATTAATGCACTAGAGATAAGCACCGAGGATGAAGAGGTGACTTGGGAAGAGACCTTGGGGCTCACCCACCTCGGGAGAAAATTCACAGATAATCACACCATGGTAAAATGAGAGCCTTTGGCCATTGGGTAACCTGGGCCACTGAGAACAAACAAGCACAGGAGCATGGCACTTCATTGACAAAAGAGGAGTCTGAGATGAGCTGCATTTCTGATCCTCTGTTCAAACTATAAGTTTGGGGAGAGGAGGGAGAGTGCAGCTGAGCTCTGCAATGGATTCAGGATACAGCTGCTAACTCTAACTACAGTTCTTTGGCACTAGCTGGGCTGGTTTCTGCCTGGTGGCCAGAAGCTGCCAGATCTCTGATTTAAGACATTGCTTTTCCAATGAAAAATAGCTATAATGAAAATAGCTTATGTCTTACATAAACTGTTAGCAATATAACACACACATTACCTTTAAATAGGACCCCTAGTATTTGGTTACACAGGGACTGTCCTATTGACTTTAAACAGCCATTTCTTGCTGTAGTTTTTTAACTCTTCTTTCCATGAACTTCATGATTTTAATAGTACTCATTGGACTGCACCCAATGATGAATTTACTTAAAATCTTTAAAAAAAAACACAACTTTCTCAACATTTTAGTTATTTGGCTTTGTCTTTATGAACTTAATTCTCGACTTTCCTAAGCCTTGGTTTTGTCAGTTCCAAAATGAAGATAATAAAAATCCCAAACACCAGAAAGCAGTGTTTCAAACCAGAGAAATAGAGGTGAAAGCAGAAGCCTATTTGAAAAGCTATCCCTGCTTCAAACTTACAGCTTCTATCTTGACCCCCAGATGCTATAACCTGGAGAAGTTTGAAAACTAGATAACAGTCCTGGAGCAAGAATAACCTGACAAGGACAAGAGAAGAAACATAACTGACCATAATAAGCAAGTTATTTTCTATGCATTGTATAAAAAAGATGCAATCCATGTGCATCTGAATAGATCTGTCCAATTTGAAAGCTCTTGAGGTTATAAAATGTACTTCAATAATTTCAAGATTATTATATATTGAATTAGGCAGAAACTTTTTTTAGTGTACATGCTGATACTAGGGCTTGAACTCAGGACCTGGGCACTGTCCTTTACCTTTATTGCTCAAGGCTGGCACTCGATCACTGAACCACAACTCCACTTCCAGTGTTTCAGTGGTTAAAGATGAGTATTACAGACTCTCCTACCCAGGCTGACTTCAGATCCTAATCCATAGTTCTCAGCCTCCTGAGTAGCTAGGATTACAGGTGTGAGCCACTGGTTCCTGACTTAGCAAAAACATTCAAAGGATAGAACAGTGATAATTGAGCTGGGATGTAGCTCAGTGGCAGAATGTCTGCCCAGTATGCACAAGTTCAATCTCGAGCACTAAAAAACAAAAAAACACAACAAATAATCTAAAAGGCGCCAGGTACCAGTGACTCATGCCTGCTCAAGTGGCTGAGATCTAAGGATCACAGTCCAAAGCCAACTGGGGCAGGAAAGTCCGTGAGACTCTTAGCTCCAATTGACCACCAGAAACTGGAAGTGGCACTGTGGCTCAAGTGTAGAGCACTCACTTTGAGCTGAAAAGCTCAGAGACAGCACCCAGGCCCAGAGTTAAAGCCCCATAACCAACCAAAAAAAAATTTAAAAGGCAAAGTACATTGTGTTGAATTTCTTCATTCAGTATTTCAAATATTAATTTAACTGCCCAATATTGTCCATAGTTACCTACATATGGGAAATTTGCAGTGAACACAGCTTTATTTTAGCCCAGTCTGCCTATGAACCAAGTCACATACATTAGTTTTTTAGCCACTATTTATATTTTTTTGCTTTACTTATAAGTTATTCAGTTTGGTTGAATATTACATTTTGAACATATTTCAGTTTTTCCCCACAAGTACCAAAATAGTAACTAAGGAAAAAAAATGAATGAAAATGAATGTTTAATTTCTGCTTAAATATGTGCTGCAATACAGTTACCATTTTGATAAATGAAATGACTTTCAGTTAGCAGAAATACAAGTTAGTAAACCCAGAACAAGAAGCACTATACCAAATAATTAAAGAAATGAGCCTCAGTAAAACAGATGTCTATTTTATTAAAAAAGTTACAAACAGGTGGACTGCAGGGTCGTCTTACAAAATGACAAGAATGAAATCTATTGGAAAAATTTTACTTTTACAAATCTTTATAGGTAATTGTTCAATGTTTGTACTTGTTATTTGAGATTTTTTATCTTTCACGGATAAAGTTACAGTACATTAGATCCATGATTTTATATGCAGAGCCCTACTGCAGTGATTCGAACAACTCCTAAACAGATGCCAGAGTAAAGACAAGACATATATTGTATTTAATATTAATTTATTATCCTAATAAGTAACATGCAATCTATCGAGGAAGCTAAAATAACTTTTGGTCCCTTTTCTTAAAATGTGCTGGAGAAACCACCTTTAAAATCACTTTCCCCTGATTCCTGTAATCCTAAATGAATCCAAGATAAATTTGCTGCTGAGGTCAATGACAATGAACACTATAATAAAGAGAAGGAAGGGAAGTGGAAGAGAGGGGAGAGAAGAGGAAGAGAAGGGAGGGGAGGGAAGGGGAGGAGAGGGGAGGGAAGGGAAGGAGGGAGAGAAGAAATAATATCTATAGAAAAGAAACACTATAAAATCATTAATTTGCCAGAAATTTGTCATCATGAGTTATTTGATTCCTTTAGAATTTTACAAAGCTAATAATGATGAAGCATGACCACTTAACCAACCTACTTTGAAATGAGTGTTTGGTTCTTTAAGTTTCGTATTAAAGTGCAAACTTAAATTCAGGATTCATTTCAAGCAGTTTATAAAAAAGGAACAATGTTTCAATTGTCTGTACCCATACAAGCTCACCATAAAATTCCAAATTAAGAAGAAGAGTTCATTTTGAGGGAATTTAATCAGGAATCAAATGCAACACGATTTAAAAAAAGGAAATCAAAGTTTAATTCATTTCTACTCAATAATTAATGGCCATACGGACCAAGAAATCACATGAATGTAGATATCACTTTATTTAAACATCACACACAATATAAATTTTAAATTGCCACACCCTTCCATAAACCATCACTGCATATATTAGAGCTTTCCTTGACAAAGTTATTGAGCTATTATTATAGATCAAAAGTATAGTTTTGGTTTTCTTGTTTTGCTTTATTTAGAAGCATGTTCAAATGACTAAAGCTGGGCTCCTAAAATCGAGAACTTTGGTGCAGTAGGTGAGCTGCAGTTACTAACTTCTGCAAATTAAAAGCACACAAATAAAACCAAATCAAAAACCAACAACGAAATACTGTCAAACTTACACATGTGAAAAATCACTGCTAGAAAAAGCGCTCGTTGTCATGATACTAAAATTCAACCAAAAGGTTACTCTAAGTTTTCTTTCTGTTTCTCTCTGTTTGTTACTGGTAAAATGTTCAAGTATTCAGATAAAATGTGCTGATTAGGTAAACAACATGGAAGGCAATGGCTATTAGAAAGCACATTTGCAAAAAAATAAAAAACAAAAAATAGCCCAGAGAATTGGTGCTATTCTCCTTCCTGTTACACAGATTTTTGTCTCTTAACTACGAACATGCTTCTTGAGAAATAACTAAAAAGCAATTGTGATAGTGCAAGAAAACATGAGCAGATATTGCTTTAAACTATTATTTGAAAAGACAAATCTTAAGAAGTAGAAAGTGTATATGATTTTATTTGAATTCAATTTTACATGTGCAGAAGCCTACTAGATGTCAATGACAAGCCTGACAGGCAAAGCTGAGCTATCTCTGTTTAGGTATACAATTAATTTACCATGGATACAATATCCCTTTTCAAAGGCCTTGCTAAGTAGGTCATAACTAAAATTAGAACTTCACAGAAAGGAAAATGTTACTGATGCAATTCAATGCTGTAAATGAGATTAACACATGTGAAAACCTGATGGAATCAAATGCTTAACTTCTTCAACTGAATGCCCTACCATCAATTTCCAATAACCTTCAGAACATGTTCATTACAAAAAGACATCACAAACTGCACTTGAAGAAAAGGGATATTCCATCCAGACAGGTAAAATGTGATCTTTAGTTTCTTTTTACAACACTGCCACACGTAAACAAAGTCTCAAAGTATTAACCAACCATTGAAAGGAGAAAGATTTTACAAATAGGATGAAGCTCTGGTACGAGGTAATATACAGAAGTAACCATTTGTTTAAGGCTCATTTTTTTTCTCCATTACAACTTTCTTTTAAAAGGCATTGAGTAGGTAATACTGAGTTTGAGTATTTAATAAATACAAGTTGAGAAATTGATTAAAGAAATCAATTAAAATATTAAAAATTAATCCTTGCATATTAGCCATCAATAAGAACTTAAAAAGCTATAAAAGGACTGATTTGATAAAGAACAGATTTTAAACGTATGGTAAACGTGCGAACAAGCATTCCTGTTGAAGGTCGTTGGATCTTGAAGGCCAAAGACCTTATGCACTTAATTAGATGTATGGCAACATGCTGTAATAGAGACAGGTTTACCAAGGCTCAGTTCTGCAACCCAGGTTGTAAAGTTCTCCAAAGCAGCATCTGTGCAAATTTCCTCTGAGTTTTATCTGCAATGAAAATGAAATGTCATAAAAATGCAGGAATGTATATTATGGCTTTAAGAAAGAACACTAGCAACAGATCTCGATAAACAAAAGTTATAAGAATTAAGGATCTACAGGTGGGATTTCGCTGTGCTCTCAGTCAATAGAAGGAATAAAATAACGTTCCGTGGCCCTGAAGTCTTCACATTTTTCTTTTTTTGTGTGTTGGTCCTCAGGGCCTGGTCATTGTCCATGAGCTTTTTGCTCAAGGATATCACAGGGATACCCCTTTGTATAATTAATATGCACCAAACAATTAGCAGCACAGTAGCAATGCACTATTGAAATATGTCATTATCCAGTTAATTTCTGTAAGATTATTACACTTTATACTTATAAACATGCAATATTTAAAACATTCTGGTTAAATGATCTGGCTTAAATAATCTTATGATATAAAAGTTGTGGCAAGTGGTACTTGTGCTTTCAACTTGATCTCTTGATATTTTAACTGGAAATGGCATTAGAATGAAATGTTTTTGAATTATGAGCTAGCTTGAAAGTAGACTATTTTCCCCCATAGTTTAATTCTCTGGGAATTCTAGGTTATTCAATCAGTCTAGAAACTGAATTTTTACTAGATGCCCTTGTTTGGGCTAGATGCTAGAAAACAGCAGCAGTTCACATTTTCTTCCCTGTCCTGCTCTTTTGTGGACATTGTCCCAATCATATGAACTTTTCCTGTGATAACTACCTCTCAGTCTCTGCTGATAAGATTTCTGCTCTCCCATTTACTCAGGTGGGGGAATGTATCATTAAACACAACGTCCTATAGCTGTGCTGAATCACCACCAACTAGCTGCTAGAAGAATGGAATTACATTTGTTTTTTTAAACCTAGGAGATAAAAAAAGTTATCATGAAGCCAGAAACAAATAAACAAACCCCAACTATGAAAGAATGCCAAGTGAAACCAGTATAAGATCTCTACGAACTCTACCAATGTTTATAAATGAATGGTTTTAATTTCCTTCAACAGCTACACTTCTCTTAGTGATCAAAGAGCCAGAGAATGCTTGATTAGTAGCTCTATCACCAGGACATCTACTTTAAAAAAAATGTTGTTCCACCACTATCGAAATTCTGCCACCTAAATGCAATAGGAAAAAAAATTAAACTTCTTTTAAAAAATTACAGAAACACTCTATGTAATGAAAAGTAAAACTTTTTTGCAAGGTAAATATTAATTAGGAAATGAGTTATTTAAGGTTAAAAAGATCCAGTTTCCTTACCATTAAAACAGTGACAAAAATACTTTCCTTACAAGATTATTCTAAGTATCATATAAGATATTATGTGAAAGTTACAAATGTCAGGTGTCATTTTCATTTCTCAACTCTGTTATGAAATTTCTAAACAGTAGCATTGTGTTGCTAATGTCCAGATTCTCTAATTTTCAGACTAAGGACCTTTATACTTTTAAGCCTAATATAAATTTCTATACCTATTTAATCACATTAGTACTTCATTATATAGATAAAACATTATGAAGACTTCAGTAACTCAGGCTAGATTTTCCTAACATGACAAAATTCTTTACTATAATTGTTTGTTATAAATTTTAACCATTTTCAAGACCAACTCATAAAGAGCTTGAGATTTTCAAATATGGAAGATCTTCAAATATTGAAGAAGTAAAATGTGATGGCTTACTTTTTGCATTCTCTGAGGTCAAATTGAGAAAGTATTTATCTAGAGCTAAAACAAGCAATACAAATGAGTTTACTGTCATCTATATTAAATGAATGGCTGTATACTTATCACTTCTTACCATCCCCAAACCTGGTTAACATTTAGTCCATCCACATTCCTCAAGATCATATGTTCGTGAAACCAAGACATACGGATAAACCCTGAGTCACACAATATTAACAATCATACTTTTAAAACAAAATGTTAATAATGGCCACCTTTCAAAAGAATAATAAATAATAATTCTCTGCAGTACTAAATTCTGAAGCAAAATTTTATGTTAAGTCAAAAGGACAGTGTCTCTCAAGATTAGAAGTTCACAGGATGGAGAACATAAATGTTCTTACTCTACAGTGAGAGTACAATTTTCAGTGTATTAACACTCTCATTCATTTAAAAAGAAAAACATCCCAGAAGCTTTAGAGGCAGCTGGTCAAATTAGTACTTTTTAACTCACATGCTATCACATTAAAACATACTGCACAGATCTAACTTGCTGTTTTCAAGATAGGATATAGTTATCTCTGTCTTTGTTCTTTTAAGTTTCTAGTAAGATACCATATAAATCTAAACTCTGGATGCTTATCCTCAAGCTGCTGCTTAATGGTCTTGTTTCACTTTTTATATTTTTCTAATAAAAATTATGAGTACAAAATTAAACCAAATAATAGTCCAAACCTCCTCTAAGTAAATCATGAAACAGAGTCCCTAGAGTTGAATAAACTGGTACAGAATTAAAACAACAAAGATCATTATTTGCCAGCCTGAAGAAACAGATTCTTGATTCATGACTAACACATCATTTCAAGAGGCAGAAGAATGTATGGGACTTAAACAAACGCTCCTGAAAGGCTTAGCAGTTTGTGAATGTCTTTTTAGCTTAACTGGATTTATCATTCAGTGGTGTTCATTAGTATTATTTCTCTCTCTTTATAGTGATTTAAATGAGCAATCAGTCACCTTTTTTATTTTACACATATATTCTGAGGATTTGACTAAAGGAATTTTTAAAAATTTAAAAAAATTAACTTCCCTATACATTTTTACATGGTATTGCATGTCCAAGTTAAATATTAGCTGTATTAGTAAAAACATAGGATTTCTGTTATACGACAGAAGTTAAGTTTTTAAAAATATATATATTGTTTCTTTTTCTTGACTAGCATGAGAGTCATGTAGCTTTTGGGGAGTGGAATAGGAAAATTAAGTCACTGAAAGTGCTCACTCTCATCGGAAAGCAAAAACAGAAAGCAAAAGCTAAACTTGTATTACAGATACCTTGAATGGAAGTGGAACTATGTATACTTGAAGGGAAACATGTATACTGTATTACATGGTGAAGCCATAATCGAAGGGAAGGAATTAGCTATTTTTCTTATGTCCTAGGCCTAAAATCTCCAAAAGCTGAAATGAACAAAGTAAATTCAATTTTGGGATCTCAAACTGTGTGACAAGAATCTATAATAATAAACAGAGATGTGCGTTCAATGATTCCAATTCAAGTGGCCAACTTTGAGTCAGGCCAGGTAGGGCTTTGCTCTAGACTCTAAACTGCACGTTTCCAGTGTGATATTTCCAATACTGTAGCTAATCAAAGGAATTTGGGAGTCTGGTCTTAGCTGGCTAAGTTTTTCCAACAACTGACAAGACTTGAATTCTTGTTAGTTGCATTATCTACTTAATTGTTGAATTCCACTGAGAAGTAATCCCACAAGGAGAATTGTTGCTTGTTGCATGGCTAGAACGCTTTCTCAGTGGCAATTCTCCAATTCCATGATGTGGTTTTTGTTAATTTTACTGATGGTTCACTTTAATCCAGAGGTAATGGAGTAAAACTAAATAGCTCATATGCATTTCAATCTGCAATAAAAGTCTAATCTTGAGTTTAGAAGGAAGTAATTAAGGAGGGAACATTCTAATCACTGGATAACTCCATACCCAGAGTGAGTCTAACCAGGCACCCATGCATTACCAATACTTTTGAACTGGAAACCTGGGAGGAGAGCTATCAGTGGAGATCAGGGAAAATTAGGGATGACAGAGGACAAAAGCAGCTCTGTTCATCCCCATCCCCAGTTCCAGAGTAGGTCTTCATGGTACACATTATTCCAAAGCATGCTTTCCTCCCCACCCCCACCCCATTCAATCCTTTGCTTTACTTTGACTCATATGAACTAGCTGGAAGATAAACATTTTAAATAAGCCATTTTCCCCACTCAAAAGAGACCTACCCAGCTGGGTGCCAGTGACAACCATCTGTAATCCTAGCTGTTCAAGAGGCTGAGATCTGAGGTTGAAGGTTCAAACCCAACCCAGTTAGGAGAGTCTATGAGGCTCATCTCCAATTAACCAGCACAGCCAGAGCTGTGGCTTGACTGACAGAACACAAGCCTTGAGTGAAAAAGCTAAGGGTAGTACTCAGGCCTTGAGTTCAAGCCCCAGTACTGGCAGCAAAAAAAAAAGTGTCATGTAAATAGGGCAGTAGAAAAGAAAGGAAGCAAGCACCTAACAAAACTAACTTCTGCAAAAGAATTCTGCCCTAGTGTTCTACTGATATAATTAATATTTAACTCAGATACTAAAACAAAGTACACATTGTGATTTCATCTTCAGGATTTTCCCTTCACATTTGCTGAACTTCCAAAATGTCATACTGAGTAAAAATTTTTGAGAAAATATCAGAAACTTCTGATTGTTTTTTACTAAAAAATCCTAAAAATGCTAATCAATTCACTGTGTTTAGAAATAGTTAAGTCCAGCTATACTAAAATGACATTCATAGATGGCTCAGCTTTTCAGGAGCCTTTGTTAACATCCAGGGCATTCTGCTACCACGTGAAATGATGTGCTAGTCGAGAATCAAGAATCTCCCTTTTTCTTCAAGCTTACATATATAATGAACTGAGGCTGACATAAATAATGATCTTTGTTCTTCTCAGTTTGCATCCTGGTGTTTGGTACTCTTATGCACCATTTACTCGGGAGAACCCACTCCAGAATATATGGATTAAAATAAAAGTTTCCAGGCAACCTTCAAACTGCAGTGAAGAATACCTTCCCCACCCTCACTTTTTTCCTTTATAGTAGTCACCAATAGTGTACTAATCTGTAGAAATTCTTCAAAATTATCTTTTAAAAATTCTATTTGCCAGCTGGGCCTGGAGGCAAATGCCTGTAATCCTAGCTACTCAAGAGGCTGAGATCTCTGGATTGTGGTTCGAAGCCAGCTGGGGCAGGAAAGTCAGTGAGACTCTTTTTTTATTTTTTTCTTATTGTGAAAATACCGTATAAAGGGGTTACAATTACATGGGCAAGATAATGAGTGCATTTCTTATCAAGCATTGTTGCCTCCTCCTTTGTTTCCCCTTCCCATCCCTTCCCATCTCCCCCACCCTCCACCTCCTATCCCCACCCCTGCCAAAGTTGTAAAGTTCGTTTTTCAACATGACTTGTGCATCTCATTGTTGCAATGGGTCCATCTGTAACCCTATTTAAACGATTTGTTTTTTCCCTTCCCCTCCACAAATTATACCAACATCAAATACAGTGAAAGCGTGAGACTCTTATCTCCAATCAATCACAAAAAAGCCAAAAGTGTAGCTGTGGCTCAAGTAGTAGAGTGTTAGCCTTGTGCAAAAAAAAGCTCAGGGACAGTGCCCAGGACCTGAGTTCAAGCCTCAGGACAAGCATGTAGACAGACAGACAGACAGACAGACACAGACACAGACACAGACACACACACAGACACACACACAGACACACACACACACACATACACACACACACACAAAAGGTATATACCACACTTATCATATAACATTTCAGGGACAATTTTATTGTACTTCCCCTTTCCTTTCAGTAAATGAATGGTTAATTTTTGGATATTGCTATGACCCTTTTCTGAATTTATTCTGCTCAGATATAACTATCTTCCATCTCCTCAAACCATACCCATTCTTCACAGGTCAACTCTGCTTCTCAGATCCTAACTTAGTGACTCCTAAGAAGGGGTGATTCCACCCCCAGAGAACAATGAGCAATTTCTAGAGATAATCTTAGTTGTCACATGTTGAGTGAAGGCAAGGAAAATACTATCTATATCAAACAGACACAAGCCAAAGATGCTGGTAAACACCTGACAATGTGCAGGACATCACCAAAGTAAAAGCCCAGAATACTGAGAAACTCTGCTGTCTTCTGATAGAGTAACCAGAAACAAAAAACAGCTACAATGCTGATCTAGGTTTCCATTACACTCTTGCTGCACAGTAAAAAAAGTCCTTTAAAAGCAATTGGTGGTAGCTCTCCAGGACAGTAAAGAAATTAGGATGGCTGAGCCCTGGTAGCTCATATATAATCCTAGCTAGTAAGGAGGCTGAGATCTGAAAATTACAGTTCGATACCAGCCCAGGAAGAAAAGTCTGTGTTGCTTATTGCCAGTCAAACAACAAAAAGCTGGAAATGTAGAGCACTATCATTGCTGGGGGGGAAAAAAACCCAAAACCAAAAACTCTAATGGAGAGCACCCTGGTCCTGAGGTTAAGCCTCAGTCCCCCCACACAAAAAAAAACGGAAAAAAGGAAAAAGAAAAATCAAGATGAGGACTGTGTATCAAGAATGTAACCAGGCTTCCCATTTTCCCCTAAAGTGACTACCAACGTGGAGGGTAAATGGTGAGGAAACATTCGTGGGAGCTATACAGTTAAGCAGATATTGGGCAAGAGACTGGTGACCCAAATTAAAAGGTGTTAAGAAATAAATGTTAAGAAGTATCAGGAGTGACTCTTAACAGCATTAGTAGATATTCTCTCTCAGTTAATCCCAACCAATAGGCATCCACAATCACCATCATTCTGTCTTCTATACTATTGTTTCTAACGAAGACCAGATCCTTTTCTACACATATAGGATGAACAACTCTCAAACTAAGTTTACTTGTCAAAGTATGAACTTAATCTAGGTTGGGGACTGACAAACTTCACAGTTTCATGACTCACAAACTACAGGATTCAAAATTCATCACCTGTTTTTTAGATTAATTGTAAACAAGGACAAACCCACAGTTTCCCATCCTCAGATTAGATTGTCACACATAGCAGTTCAATCCCAGTTGATGTCAGGGAAAAAAAAAAAACCCTGCAGTAACAGGTATATTGTTTTAAAAAGTGTTGCTCAGAGAGGTCCCTTTAATATCTTCAGAAATTCAGCTGATTATATATCCTCTATTTCAACATATTCTGCATACACAAATTCAATTAGAAGTCTGTCCAAAGAACTTGAACCATTAGTATAAAAATGAATACATAAAAATGAATAATATTAATAGAATCAATAATAATTTGATTTTCAGTATGTTAATCCATATGAAATGTATACATAATTGGCCACAGGATTTTTTTAATCTATGTAGGCATCCCTATAGTTATACAGACAGAATTTAAAGTATCAAATCAAAAAAAATCATGAAAAAAATAAACTCAAATAATTAAGAATAAAAAAGGCTTAAATAGCTTCTTTTTTTTTTTTATAACATCATTTAGACTGAAAGTTGGTCCTCTGTATGTATGAGACTAACCATGCATCACCTCCTATAGTTGTCTACATTTCTGCTGGAGGGGAAGACTCAGAACATTTTGCAGTATTTGTTTAATTTTCTTGTAAGATGATAAAACTAAAAACATATAGACTCGTGGTTAAAGTATCAGAGAAATAAAGCAGAATGGTAAAGATGCAATCACTACACGAACTTGTCCAAGCTTGCAGCTGGCAGACAACTTAAAGAGATTATGGAGACAACATATTCAAGTCATCTAAATAATAAGCCTGTCCCTTCTCCAAACATCTATACTGTAAGGACAACACTATCAATGAAACATAAGCTGCAAAAAAAAAAAAAAAACCACACAAAACACCCACATAAGCTTGGCTATAGTGCGACCAGTGATTTTGTAAGTTAACAGTTGCAGCTACATGTAAGAAAATAGATGTGTTTTCATTATATGCTGCTATGCTAAAGGCTGATGAATGAAAGCATTTTGAATAGTGCTGTGTTGTCATCCTTCATTTTCGGAGATGACACTACCTGACAGGAGACCTTGTCTGAAAAGATAAATTAGGGACCGTTTGTCATTTCTCCAGGGAACACATATGAAGCCAAACCTTTGATTAGGAATCATCACGGCGATCTGAAATGCCTGTTGCCATTTGCAACAACTGCTTCCTAGACTGGAGGTCAGCCTTGGCTTAGAAAGATCAATTTCTTTCCTGATATTGTCAGGCTACTGTGGCATTTGCTGTGGTTTCTCAGTCATCCACAATATTGGTTGGTTTATCTTATTATCTAAGTGTTACTGCCTCAGTGAGACTATTCACTCAATTATAGTCAAGCTCAAAAGATCATAATACGAATAAGCTTATCTCATTTTAAATGCTCAGCAAGTTTTACATCACCTTGCTTTTGCATAGACCTCCTCCATTGGGGGGGAGGGGGAACAAACTTATCACTGAACTCAATGAAAGGTTTGAAAATCTGATTATTACAGTTCAAAACCAGTACCCACAGTAAGAGAATGAGATTCTTATCTCCAATTAATCACCAAAAAGCCAGAAGGAGAGCTGTATTTCAAGTGACAGAGCACTAGCCCTGAGCAAAACTGCCTGGGGACAGTGCCCCAGACCCTGGGTTCAAATCCCAGGACAGGCAGCCCAAAACCAACAAACATGTTTCCAGTGCTTAAGATGGTTTCTCCTAATATTTCACAGATTATTAAACCAGATGCTTATTAGATCCATAAATTCATAATGAAGTCAAGGTACACTCTGGCCTTATAATTTGTTATTCCGGGGATCACTTCAGTCTCTCAAGCACAATGCCCAGGTAAACTTGATTAAATAATCATCCTGTTAAATCAAGCACTTCCATGATTAGTAAATTGCTTTTTTTCAATTGTAGCAACACCCTTGCCCAGGTCACAAAACCATAGAAGGATAAAAAGTATCATAAAATTAATCACCTTGTGAATTTATTTTCAGCTGCTCTCCTGTGCATTTTAGATACTATGATTTGAAAAACATGAGAAAGGCCTATTATACTTTGACTCACCCCAAAACATGTTTTCAATAAAGAATGTAAGGAAGAGTAAGTCATTTTGAAAATGCCTCAATTGTGGTGATGGGTATTCAATTTCTTACCTCTGTTCTGCTTATCCGCACTATTTTTTTTCATTCGCATTAAATGTTAATGATATATGCTAAAGAAAATATTATTTAAAAAATAAAGACATTTAAGATTGTGTTATATGTACTAGGATTAACCAGATTTTTGTTATGCTTGATTAGAAACCAACCACCACCTCTGGCTCATGCATTTCCACCAATAACTAACCTGCTCGGTATGGCCATGATTGAGGTTATCTTTTTTCTTTTTACTGGACAACACAAGTTGTACAACACTGATCTTGCTTCTCGGGCAGGGAGGAATAGTTCATTTGTCTGACGATCTCAGCAAAAAGTTCATCCACCATTGATTTACTTTTTGCCGATGTTTCCATGAAAGGACAGCCCCATTCTTGAGCCAGAGCTCTGCCTTCTGAAGACATAACCTCTCTCTCTGGTTCCAGATCCACTTTGTTTCCTACTAGGATTAGTGGGACTTTTTCATATCTCTTCACTCTGACAATCTGATCTCTCATCGGCTTGATATCCTATTCAAACAATCACAAAGACAAAGAAAAAAATTATGTCTGCATGACTATAGCAGAAGGATTCAAATATCACCAAAAGGCATACTTCACTGAGTATATAAAGCTAAATCCAAAATAAAACTACACATCAAAATAATTTTTTCAACATCTTTCTTTCATTTAATTAGGAATTAAGAGAATCTTCCACAGGCTCTATCTTCTAACTTTTTCAGAAACACAAAACGCATATTGAACACTAACCTCTGAAACCGAGCCTGAACTGACTAAAAAAAAAAATGAAGTTCCAAAATATGATTACCATTTGTATAAAGGATGTTTGGCCCTCTTTCTAAACCTGCCTGTTTCTGTCATCACCCTTTATGACACCTGTTACACGGAGCACGATTGCAGCATCTCTGCATTCCCAGTCATTTAGCAAGAGGACTTTGAGAGAAAGTGTTTTATGTAGGGAAGAGAAATGATTTGCAATACATAGAAGGCCAGCTTTAAAAATAAATGTATGCAAACATTTCATTTTTAATAGACTATTATGCCCTTAGACTAGTATAATCTAACACCTTAAAATACATTTCAATAAATTAGAAGCTATTATAACAGAAACTATTATAACAGTGAGCACCTCCTGGGAAGGACAATGCAGTGGGGGGGGGGTAGGTCTTGCTGGGAAGAAGTGATTTGACTAGGTTTGCTTTTCCTAACAAATTCCCCCCTCCCTGCATGTATTGGGGAACCCCCACACACACATACGCTTGTATTGGGGAAGATAATTAAAATTAATTACAAAAGTTAAGATCCTTAACAATTCTTCAGTAGCATCAATTTGGGGAGGGGAAAAGCATCAATATGTGACAACATTACAGATCTCATGGTAGCTTTATAAGATTTTTTTAATGATTTTTATAACTTAAAAGATTTTATAATGAAAATGTGTGTTTAGTTTGAGTTGTTACAGTAAACAGCATATTTGGAATGGCGCCAAAGGAAAAACAAGCAACCATAAAAAATTCATAAAAATACACAGTAACTTGATATTTGCAACAATTTGTTTTGGTCCCTTATCACTTCAGTTTTCTAAGTTAAGCTTTTTTTTCTTCTGTTGTCCTTCTAGAAAGCAAATTTCAGCTGAGAATCTCAACTTAAGGCATCTGTGCTCAAAAGACTTGAAATCTTGATTGAATTAGTGGCACAGTTTTATACTTCCTATTTATGTCTCTATGAGAAGTAGATATAATGGAAGCACCCTTCAAAAGACTCATACCCTCAAGAGTGTGGTAACAAAGTAACACATCTCCCAAGGATCCTTTAGACAGAAAATGCTACCTTTAGAGAACACTTTTATGGTAGTTTTTGATTGAAATTTAAAGCTACATAAAACAAACTATAGTTTGGTCTCAATAGCTTTTGACTAATTCACTGTGATCTGATCTTTAAAAATATCCTTGAAGCAGCCACACAAGATTCCTGGAAAAATTCACAATGGTAGTTTAACTCAAAATACTAAAGAATGTGAAATTAGCACCTTGCACAGAGTAAAGTACTTAAGGTTTTTAAAGTAAGCAACATGAAGTGCATACCTTTAAATGTAGAAAAAAAATGTCCATTTCCTAAATCAATGGAGGTCAATATAATGGGTCAATATGAGGTCATTTATTTTCAAGGAATAAATAGCAACATTTATTACATCTCTTAAAATAACATTAAACCTTTCTGTTTCCCGGTGAAGGACAAGACAGACTTTCCTAAGAAACTGGACTGAGTCCAGTTTGGCTATCCTGCAAGGGTAAGAAATCTGCACTTGTTCTGTGTTTCCAGACCCACATCTTTCCTATAAATATAATCTATGATGCATATTTGGTGTCATATACAAATCGGATCAAACGGCAGAAAAGGAGAGTCTTGATTTTTGTTGGTTATTAATCTGAGGTAAGAGTCAGTGAGTAAACTTCCCCTAAGGACAGAAAATGCCTAGAAGGCTGGTCTTGAGTTCTTCATCTTCCACTAAGATTTATGATTCTAGTTGAGAAAGTTCGAAGTGAGCAGAGAGAGGAGAAGGAGGGAAAACAGACACAGACAAGTCTTATCTATCCCAGAGATAATGGGCTCCAAATAATTTTCCTTTCAAAATGGTCCTTTTACCCCGAGATTATCGGTTAAATGTTGTTTCGTCCCGCAGGTTAATCAATACTTGTTGAATTGAACAAACAACGTCAGAAGGTTATTTTTACAGGCTACAACACATGGAGACCCACTTATTTCATTTTTCACTTCTCCTTCAAACAAATCAACAAAAATAACCTTTAGGATGTTTGTTGACGCCTGCTACTTTAGTATACTCTCTACAGAAATAACCCAATAGTTTTCCGTGCCTGGACTAACCTCAAAAATGTGCCCTGTGTAACTTTCAAAAAGCAAAACACAGTCATTAACACACGCATAGGGGCAAATCAGAAGTCCACAGGGGATTTACCACAGAGAGCCCATGTAACAAATTACAAGAGTTGGTTACCTGAAAAGACTGTTGATTCACCAGACTATACACCAGGATGAAGCCTTGGCCGTTTTTGATGTAGAGATCTCTCATGGAGGCAAACTGCTCGGTGCCTGCAGTGTCCAGAATTTCCAGCACGGATGGGGAAGAGTCCACTTCGATCTCTTTGCGGTAGAAATCTTCAATGGTCGGGTCATATTTCTCAATGAAAGTCCCAGTGACAAACTGCACCGTGAGGGCAGATTTGCCAACCCCTCCGCTCCCTAACACCACTACCTTGTACTCCCTCATGAGTCTCACCTTCACCAACTGCTACCAGATGGGGGGAAAAATAGCACCCCGCTAGCTGCGCTGCGGCTAGGCGAGGCGGAAGGTGGGCGGAAATCTGTGAGCTGGGGAGAGGAGTGCAGAGCCGCGAGGGCCCAGCCAGCGAGCAAAGAGCCGTGAGCAGCGAGCCAGCCCGAGCAGCGGAGAAGAAGAGGAAGTTGCGGGAGGGGGAGGGGAGAGAGCCAAGTGTCGGGTGGGTGGGGATGGGATGGTAATGCCCTTCCTATAGGAACTGAAGCCCAGGCAGGGGGCGTGGGGAGGAGGGCGAGCCCAGAAGGCGATGGAGGGAGGGGAGGGGACACCAGACACGCAGCGTGCCCCCAGGAGGAACAGGATGGGGGAGGGAGGTTCAAGGAGGAGGGTGGAACTTGGGGCCAGGGGGCCCAGGGTTCGCGGAAACCAAGGCCACTGGCTGCCTGGCACCGTCCCCCGCCCTTTCACACAAAGGGGCCCAGGGACCCCCCGCTTCGTGCAAGCAAGCAAGAGCGCCGCCCAGCCAGTCCAGGCCTGCAGGCTCAGCTTGCAGTCACTGTCTTCCGGATGGCTCGGTGTGATCCCCGGCTCCTGCCGGGGGTCGATCGGCCTGTACAGGGATGGGGAGGGCGGAGTGAGAGAGGCGCATAGTCCTTTGCCTGACCCCACCACCACCACCACCACCACTACCGTCAAGCGGCTCTGGCTGCCGCCCCCAGCCGCCACTCAAGCTGGGCTACTACCGCCACCGCTGCTTACCCTGCTGTCTGCACCCGCCCGGCCGCCCAAGAGACTCAGTCACGCCAAGGCCATGGCCACCCTCGCTCCTGCGTCTTTTAGAGCTGCCCCAGTCCGACTGTAGGCCCAGAGGAAAGGGGCGGGGGGGGGGCCGACCGGCGGAGGCCGCAGGGACTCCAGACTAAGCCACTTCTTTTTTTTCCTCCCCCCTTCCCCCCCCCACCCCAGCATACACCCGGAAGGGTTTCCCTGACACACTGGCTGAGGTGCCCCAGTTCCCTGAGACTGGACACGATCACTTCCGGTGGGGAAAGTCCCACCTCTTCGGAGCGAGCCGGGTGGCGCTAGGGGCCGCGCCCTGCTGAGCGAGCTTGGCGGCCCAGCTACATTTGGACCCAGATTGGGGCCTTAGGGAAGGGGCCCTTCGGAGAGACGCTCCACCTTCCCTGCGTTCCCGCCAGCGCAGCTGTGGCTCGCTCTCTCAGCTCTAAACGCGCTGAAGCCCCTCCGCCTCTCCGTGTCTAAAAGCTCAGTCTCAGTACTTGATCTGCTCCTTGACTCGCTAAGAATCGAATAACCCGGAATCTAGCAAACATCCCAGGATAAGAAATTGCAGGAAAAATGAAAGCGCTTAAGAACTGTAATCTCATCCCCGATAGTTCTTCCACTTGATATTGTTCTAAGGAATGCATTCAAACTACAGAACTTAGATTTGGTTTTGGCTCTGATTTCGGACGTGGTGTGTTTTACTTAACCATGCCTTGACGATTAAACACACTGTACTTCATCAACAGGCACATCTGCTTCACCTTGACCCAGCAAATACCAAAGTATTTCAAGAAAGAAAGAAAGGAAAGAAAGAAAGAAATCTCCCAAGACTCAAAAACAACAGTCTTAGAACTAGGCTTTATGGTACTGTACTTTATTCAGTTTTTCCCTATTCCATCCGAAGCACCACAGAGCAGAAAAAGTAACCAATACTCAGTGAATAGTACATTGTAAATAGTTTAGCCTTGCAGACTAATTTTTGGATGTCAGAGTAGGGGTGCATTCAGAGATTCTACTTGCTAGGCAGGCTGTCTAACCCCGTCAGCCTCATTCCCAGGCATGCGGAGGAATTTCATTTAATCTCTCATTATCTACATGGATAACAATTTGCAGGGCTGGCTCTCTTACTTTCAAGTTTAGTTTTAAAGGCCAGCTTTCATAGCCATTGAAATCCAAAAGCAAATATTAACTCTAGTGTTCAAGTTCTTAAGTTTCTATTTCTAGATCAAATTGTTACCGTTACTTAGACTTTCTATTTGTAAATTTGGTGTCACATCCACAGGGCCTCAAGGCCAGAAGCTTTGACTATTTTAGGCATTTCACTCCCATTTTCACTTACTCACACCTAGAACTTGATTCAATAGCCAGCCTAAACTGATACCCAAGGGCCCTTGCTTGCAAACCTTTAACAGCCAAACAATGAGCAGATTAAGTCAGTCCCTAATCCATGTTTCTTACACTTTAAAACAGAGGAGGATCCCTTGAGTGTAAATACCAACGACCCTTCTCAACATTCCCCAATGCCACTTACAGTATACAAAGCCCAGTTTAGTTCAATTTCTGATCGCCTTAAAGCTAGTGCAATCTCTCCAGTGGACTCCCCAGCTCTAGCTAGCTAGCCTGGGTCCTGCCTGGTATCTGGGGCACTGCCCTCTACTGGAAGGCAGATTTTCCCCATAGGTCACAGCTCTTTCCACAGGGGCCGCAGCCTGATTTAGAGCTCTGCTGCTCATCTCCCTATCTGGCTGTCTCTAGACTGACTGGCAGAATCCATGATCCTCCCTCAGCCATGCTTGTAACCAAGCCTGCACATTCCTCTGATCGAGATAGCATTGGTTGAGCAATCTTAACAAGTCTCTACCCTTCTACTAAACTGTCATAAGAGTTCCCTGTGGGCAGCTCTAGTATCTCTCAGTGTGTTGGCCATTTCTTGGAGTGAATTCTTTGTTTTTCTACACAGTGAAATATTCCTGCCCTTAGTACAAAATCCTATTGACCCAATCTCACCAATAACATGGGGACAAATGTCATACTGACTCTAAAGATCCTCTCTAAACTTTCTCAAGAAGGGTATTTATTCTTGGGTGCCAGTGGTTAATACCTGTAATCCTAGCAATTCAGGGTAAGATCTGAGGATCAAGGTTCAAGGCCAACCTGTGCAGGAAAGTCCACGAAACCCTTATCTCCAATTAACTACCAAACAACCAAAAGGGGAGCTGTGGCTCATGTGGTAGAGCTCCAGCCTTGAGCCAAAAAGCTGAGGGACAGCGCCGAGACCACGAGTCAAAGTCCTTGGGTAGGCACACTTGTGCATGTACACGTGCACACGCACACATCCACGCAAGTGTTTGTTACAGCTGTTATTTAAGAAAGCAAAGACTTGGAAGTAACTTAAATTCCAATGTAGTCTAATCATTTTTTACTTAGTTCCATTTTCACATATGTACACTGACAATTATGAATATAGTCACCCATGATTTCTCTCTCCACTCATCCTCTCCCTTTCTTTTAACTCCCACCATCTCAGAAAAGACATATGTAACTAGTATTTTGAAAGGAAGAATAAAACAAAGTTGTTCATCATCATTTCATCAAATCTCCCTACTATCTGGGGACAGGCCTATCTAATTCTAAAAAGTCCTTCCTTCTGCCTGTCTGCCTTCCTAACATCGCTATACTTAGAAAGCATTTCTCATACATTGTCTCATTAGGTCCCAGTTGTTTGCTAGTATTTGCGAGGAAATCTAAAGATGAATTAGCAGAGAATGGTCTGGCAGTCAAGAATAAGACTCTGAAATGCAGCACAAGATAGTTACATGGCAGTGTCCCAGCCTTGTAGATGGGCAACTTCAATTAACTGATTTTGCTGGTTTAAGCCTCTAAATCCTCACCTATAAAAGGGAGGGAAGAATTTAACCCGATAATGTAATGAGGTATTATAGGTAAGATGCTTAGCAAAGTCCTCTTGCACATTATGCATTCTCAACACATGCTAGCTGTTTTATTTTTTTTTAATTCCTGAAATGCTATAAGTTAAAAAAAATAGAGAACAGGGCTGGGAAGGTGGCTCAGTGGTAGAGCGCTTGCCTTGCATGCATGAGGCCCTGAGTTCGATTCCTCAGCACCACATAAGCAAAATGAAAAAAGCCGGAAGTGGCGCTGTGGCTCAAGTGGTAGAGCGCTAGCCTTGAGCTGAAGAGCTGAGGGACAGCACCCAGGCGCAGAGTTCAGGCCCCACGACCGGACCAAAAAAAAATAGAGAACATGGTTGGGGGGGTGACAATTTTTTTTAAGTCCCATCATTTCCATGTGGCACAAAAATAAGTATCTATTGTTACAATTTTTTTGTATTTTCTTTCAAGAAAAAATTGATAAAATATATCAATATGCTATCTATGTGTGTATATATATACAAAGTTATTACAAAATAACCAGGCTATACACACTCTTCTCTAACTTGTTTTTCTTTCTGTCAGTATTTAGCTGTAAATTTCCAGTTCAATAACCAAAAAAATGGTACTGCATTTAAATTTCTTCTGGAAAGCACTGCCAAATTGTCCTTCAGCATAATCACACCAGTGCACATTCCTACCACTGCTGTATGACCATATCACTTTCTTTATAACCTCACCCTTGGTATTACTAATTTTAGCATTTTATTGCTATTCTTGCTTGCTTTAGAGTATTTGTAGGACTGAAAAATGCAGGGTAGGGTTCTAGAAGGAATTTTGGCCTCAGAGTCAGACTGCCCTTTTCCAGTGTCGCCTCCTTTCCTTCATATCTAAAGTTAGGCACAATAACACCGTCTCACTCATAGAAGAATAAGTGAGACAACTCAGTCAAAGTATCTAATCTTCTAAACACTAAGTGCTCAGTAAATGGAAACTTCTCAAATCATAGTTTTCCATTCCCAAGGCTAAAAGATGGATGGGGAAGAAATTTCAGGATATAAACTATGTGTGAAATATTGAGATTACAGGTACATATTCTGAGTTTACATAATTATCTTGGCACGATTTAAAAGCCCCATACAGGCCAGGTACCATATAGTATCTCAGCCTGTAGTCCTAGCTACACAGGAGGCTAAGATCTGATGATTGTGATTGCAAGCCAGCCTAGACAGGAAAGTTTAGGAGACTCTCACCTCCAATTAACTAAGAAAAAGCCAGAAATGGAGCTCAAGTGATAGAGCATAGGCTTCAGCAAAAAAGCTCAAGGACAGTGCTTAGGCCCTGAGATCAGGCCCCATGACCCCCATGCATGTGTGTGCGCGCGCGCACGCACACACACACACACACACACACACACACACACATCCTAGACATTTTTCTTTAGGCAACAGTTGTGCTCTTTGCAGTCTTCCCTTCCTCCTTTCCAGTCTGTGTTTTTTTAAGTTGCAATTCTTGGAGCCATTAACCAGCCTGAGTAATTGGCTCTTACTTCCATTATAGCCTTTTAGGCCCAAGCAAAAAAAGCCAAGCCTTGTTCAATCCAGGCCCCAAGTCCTTCTTATTTTGTTGCCCTAAATTGCCCTTCAGTTACCATTACACTTGAGTGTCTTCAATCTTTCTTTACAAACATCTTCTGAAGGTTGCTCTTTTCTAATTTCACTGGTTTAGGAGCCCCTAATGATAACCCTTAGATTGCCTGCATTCTTTCTGTGTCCATCTCAACCTAGCTTTCAACTACTGCTGCAAGCTATACCAATTACTGGTATTTCTGCATTGCAGGCTACCCTTGAAGGATTCAGTCTGGCCTTATTCCCCAGGGTCAAGCAAAGCGCCAGGTGTGTGCTCCTGTGCTTGTCCACAGGCAGGTCATTCTGACCTTGGCCCTGAAGAGACGACAGCCCCCACACCCAGCTTCCACTGTGGGCCTGGCCAAGGACATTGCCCTTGATCCCAATGAGACCATAGCCCATTTTTTTAATCTTCTGCTTCCTTGTTAAGCCCTATAGAAGCCCACCCCCAAATCCAGTCCCTTGCACAACCTCCAAACCCGTGGAAAGGTTTGCACCCCTTGCTGTTCCTCAATTAACAGTCTTAACCTGTTGACCATCAAGTCTGGCCTATTCGTTTTCCATTCTCCTCCATTTTCCCAACAACCCTGGCACCCATGACCATTTTTTAACCTTTATTGTCTGTTTCTCATTA